AGACCAAGTTGATCTTCCTTCATGTTTTTTAAAGAAAAATGAGGTGTCAAAATAAAATTGCTCTTCTTAATCTAATTTTGTGCACTGAAGTCAATTAATAAGGTTATGCCTTATTTGTTTTTTTTATTAAGTAGTTCAGGAAAGTCCATAATGCACAAATGGCCTCAAGATCTCTTAGTAAACAATTAATTCATGGACAGACTTTGAAAGTTTCTTCCCTCAAGGACCAACTGAACTGGATTTCTCCTATATCCTTGCTTGACTGACATTAAGGAGAGAAAATTGGGATAAAGGGGAGAGATGGTGACTAAGGGAGAGCAAGAACAGGGTAGGGAGATGAGCGGGCAGGAGGATGAAGAGAGGAAGCTATCCAAGAGCTAAGACCTATGTAGTGGGCCAGATACCTCCTAGAAGATAAAGGAGTTCAGGGTCACTTACAGATCTGGTAACAGACAGTGATATATTTGAAGCAGACTATGTGAATGTGTAAAGTGTAATCGTTTATTTAGCTCCAAGTTAGTCCTTGCCTTCTTCAAAACATCATGTGTCCTGGTCACTGAAAAAAAGAAAAGAGCACCACAAAGAAGGAATTTACAGCTGGGCCCTACTTGCTGGGCATGCATTTTGTAGAGCATTTTCTTCTCACCCCTCAATCATGGCCTCTTGCTGACTCCTTCCTCCCCTCCCTCTGCAAGCACAATTGCTCATGTCACAGGAGGGTTGGGCCCAGTGCATCAGACTCTCCCTTCCCAACATTCCCAGTGCCTCTGTGGTCACTGTTTATCTGCAGCACAAGTGGGACATCTGCAAGACCAGCCCTTTCCTCTGCTGCTCCACAGCTCAAGGGAACCTACACTGGCTGGCAATGAACTGTTCCATGTTCTCCTTCTGCTGGTTAGCAGTCTTCAGATGCTCAGCTGTGCTCTCAAGGAGCTTCTCTCCTGTTTGGATACTTGGGCTCGCAGATCCAGGAGCTCCCTTTCCATTGACTCATCCTGGGAAAGAAGGACAAGCTCTCAGACAACAGTTTGGAGACCAAATGCATCCAGTTCTTTGTGGTTCCCACCAATCAGAAGCAGAACTCTATAATCTTCTTAGCACCTCCAGACTGAGTTTCCTCCATTATTGCTTCTCAATCCCTCAGTTCAGAATAGTTGGAAAAAAGACCACAGGTAGGAATGTTGAGAACCTGAAAGCCCCCAATCAGACTAGCACAGGCCTACATTCCTGTGATCAAGGAGACCCTGACTCCAGACCTGCAGAAACTCCCAACTGTGAACAAGACCTCCAAGTCAGTCCTTGCAGAAGTTTTGTCTCACCCTTCTCCCATCCATGAAGGACTTGGAATTTCAGAGATACTATGTCTGGGACACAGGGCTGCACTGATCACAAGTGTTCATATTTCAAAATGTCTGTATGGATCAAAAGATGGTAAAGTACCTTCTTGGAATTAAAATAGTTTGATCAAAAACATACCTGTAACATTAATGTGGAACTAAAAACTAAGGAGGGGATCCAGAGACTAGCCCACCCAAAGCAGGACAATTCCTTAGGGGCTCTACCTTTTCCCAAGACTGGAACAGAGATAAAAGGTGTGTTGGGATTCTAGGAGCATGACTGAAAGAAGCTGCAGGATCACAGTGACTTCCTTTGATCTTTTGACCAAGAAGTCCCAAGGAGTGGAAAAGCTTCAAAGGCCCCTGAATTTCAGCTCAAATTTCAGAATTATTGGAAGTGGATTTTTTATGGATTACCAGGGCATCTATGTCTGTGCTTCTCCATTTCCTTTTCTTCTCTTTGAATTATTATCTTGGGGGTTGGGGTGTGAGGACAAAGTAAGGTAATCAGCGCTTCAATGAAAACATCCACCAGGGGTCTCCCTCCAGGATGCTACATTAAGATCCAGCATATTCTAACAACCTATGTAGCTCCTGACCATCAGACAGCCCTGGAACTGAGAATACAGAATCTCCTGGGTTAGAAGAGCAGGGCTTATACCAGAAGACAACACTGGCCTCTTACCACTTTGCCAGGCAGCCCAGGGCTGTGGAAGCTTGGTAAAGCTGCTCCCCAGAACATGGTCAGGAGTGAGGCTGACTTCTCTAGGATGTGCTGCAGGGCACGGGTGCTACTTCTTAGCTCATGAAAACATTTGTTGCTTGGTGCCTGTGGAAAGGCAGAAGATAGCCATGAACATCACTGAAGCTGAGACATCTCAGGGCTCAGGACATTGAAGGCCTGCACAAGAATCAAGCTTCCTTTGACAATGAGGCACAAAGCATGGGTTGCTTGAACCTGTAAAACCCTGGCTCATCCCTTTGAGGTCCCAGGACTGAAGTGCTGCTCCTTTTATCTGGAATGACTCCTCCCCTGGACACCCTATATAAGGCTGTCACAGCTCATTCCCAAGTCATGTCCTCTACAGACCTTTTACCTTCCTCGCATGCAATAAAAGACCCCTATGCACCAGTGAACTTGAGGCACAAGAGGTGACTTCTCACATTGGGCCTGTGGCCCCTTAGTTGGTTTATAAATAGGGGTCTGTGTCTTACCCTGAATTGGGGGTTCCTTAGAAGCAAGTATCTCTCTACACATCCATGGGTCTCTGGTGGCTCAGACAGCACAGCCATTGGCCTTTGTTTTCTCTCAACAGAGAGGCACTCTGAGAAGCATTGCAGATTGGCTCCCTTCCATTTTTCCATGGGAAAAAAAGAAATGCTGTGGTGGCCAGATTCTTAGTCTTTCCACACACAAGGCCTTTATGGATGCAAATCCCTCACTACTTGTCCATCTTTTTTATTTTAATCTGTCCACATGGACCAGCATGACTGTAACAAATAATAAACCACCAGAGGGTGCTGATTTCCACATCATATGGTCATCAACATGTAACAAATGCTTTACTGAGGCTGGTGGCAATGCTGCACAGATTTCTCTGTGGCTCTGAGGGAGAATATCTGGTTAACCTTCTCTACAATAGAGTAGAACTTAGATTGAATCAGGAGATAGGGAAGCAAGGGCCTGGCTAAAATAATTGGAAGATGCTTTCTCTGTCATTGGGAAATGCAGGCCACAAAAATAAATAGTGGAGAAGAAAGTATAATTAAGGACAAAGGGCACAAAGAATGGGTGAACCCAAGAGCTGCAGGTGTGGCTACCTCTGAGCTCTGAGCTTCAAGGCCTGGGAAGTTGCATGTGGGCCTCAGGAGAGCCTGGATCTTTTGAACCAGCTGTTTCCCCTCCCCAATCTTCACTCTGAGAGCAGTATAGTCATCAATGTGGCCTATGATGTGACAGCCATGTTTGTTGTTGAAGGATCCATCCATAGTATCACCCTCTAGGGTCAGAGAGTTCTTCATTCCAGGAGGATCATCCGAATCCAGCTCTAAAAAAGAAAACCACAATAATACAGGTTCTGCTTTTATTCATGATAATATCCTCAGTTCCCACCAGTGCAGAGACTGTGAAAGAGTCCA